GTGGAAGCCGCGTTGCCTCCCCAACCCCAACGGAGAGCGCCCGGCGGAGGCCTGGCTTGCATTTCCAGCCCACCTGGGAGGCTCTCCTTGCCTTTGGCTTCCTCCCTACCTCTTCGGAGACCCTGGGCTCCTCTCCGATCCCAGCCTCCTGGAAAGGTGCTGAGGTGCTCGGCCCTTGCACCTTCCCGCAAGGCCCCAGAGCACCCCGTATCCTTAAAAATGCACAGCCTGCTTTGCCCTTCTGCCCGGCGTTCCCAGCCCAAACAGGGCTTACGTGTTAAAAATGGATAGGGTGGCCGAAGGGTGCTTTTACCCGGAAGGAAGGCCTGGTGTTGAACTTCCCTTTCCACAAGAATTGTCCGTTCCCCTCTCTGCCTTGGGTCTCCAAAACGCAAGAAAGGGCAGTGCTGCAGGATGGTTGCTCTGCAGCCCCTCTGAACCGCAGAAGTCTTCCAGAGTCCCTGAGAAGGCCCCTCTCTTTCCGTGGGGAGCCCAGCAGACGGGCCTCGGGCAGGGGGCCATTCGCACCCCTGTCCTAATGGGTTTGGGGGAAGCATGCAGCTTTCCTCCTGGTCTGCTGCTGCTGGCCTTGGTGGCTGGGGAAGGGGGCACTGAGGCAAGTACATTTGCGGAGGGAGCAGCTTCAGACATGGCAGCACTTTCATACCTTTATGGGGCACCCAGCCCACCCCCACTTGCTCTGCCCCGAGGAGAAGAGAAGGCACCGAGCCCCAAGCCGAGCTGCTGGCAAGCATGCTTGGCTGAAGAGGGACCCTGAAATCTCCAGCTGCTGGTAAAACCGTCCAATTCCCAAGGCTGCTGTCCAAGGCTTCCGGATGTTGGGGGGCTGCCTCTACAGCAGGGATGCAACAACTCCATCGTTCTTAATAGACCTTCAGTGCTAGGAGAAAAGGCAGATGAAGCTCTGGAAGAACACGGGAAAGGCTGCTGGTTACCCCCAGCCCACCCCCAGGATTCCAGGGCTGACGCTCAGAAATACAAAGCTGGGCTCAGCAGCATCTGGAGAGCTGCCGGTTTCTAGCACAAATGTGTCTCTCGTTTACGCTGGCAAAGGGCTGCTTCCTGTGGCAACAGGTCTGTCTTGAAAGGGGGCTCTCCCTCATTGTTCCCCCACTTTCTCTCTCAAATGCTTTTTCTGCTGGTATACTGTGTTTTGTATGTGTATCTTGTAAAAATAACTGACATGGACTGTCTCTTCCTTGGTGCATTTATTCAGATAAGATGAAATCATGGACTATTTATTCCATTTTTACTCTGCCCAACTCCCAGCGACTCTGAGCTAAATGAAGGTTGCATGATTAATCAGCTGAAGATGCTTTTCCATCACATGGCACTGATTGTCCTGTGTCCCTCTGAGAGAAGAAACTTTCAGCTTCCAGATCTCACTGTGGAGCGTATGAGACACCCCACTCCGAACCCAGACTGAAATCTCCAACCCCAGGCCCAGGTGACTGAGGGGTGGGGGAGCAGTTGGAGTTGTTGAGTCATAAGAGTGGTCCCAGGTGGCTTTGAAAGTGCTGCCATGTCTAACATGTGCTGAGATTCCACTGGCGAGGGCTCGTGGCATGCCGGGCAAGCACTGGCATCAGCAGGAGAAGCGCCCAAGACGACTTGCCCATCGTTGGAGACCTCCAGGCTTGCCTGACCAAGAGGCTTGTGCTCCCTCCAGGTGGGCTTCTCCAGCCCACCGAAGCAGGAACGCAGCGCTGGTCTGCCTGCCGCCCTGCTGCTGCCAGGGGTCTCTCTCTTGACACCTTGGTTGCCTCATTAACTGCAGACTTGGAGGTGAGAAATTCAGTTTGACTGGGAAGAGTCTTCACACTTGTTCGCTCTGTGTTTGGACAAGTGCAGGGTTTTTTTACACCCAGCCCTGGGAAATCTGTCCCTGAGCATGCTTCCCGGCCCTCAGGAGGAGCTCCCAGGGATTGGGGCCCTGAGATGGGAGGAAGAGTGAAAAGCAGCCTCTTCCCTCTTCCCCACCAGGCTCTGAAATGGCTACTGAGGGCTCCATCCTTCACAAATCGAGCCCTTCAAGCTGTTGGCAGCATTTCAACCTCTGCCAGTCACATCCTTTCCAAAATACGACCCAGTGACAAGTCGTCTGCTCAGGAATGGCTGACCTCTACGTGTCTCCATCCCATGTCCTGGGCCAGGGATTGCTGGGGGAGAGGCAGCGAGCAACAGAAGGCACACAAGCCCTGCCAGCAGTTTCCTTTAGAGCAAGATGGCGCAAACGGCCTTGGCCTGGCAGGGAGGGGCGGGCAAGACTTGAGGGCATACGTCTGCCCCTCGGGGCCTTCCAGAGGACCACTGGAGGCAGAGGGGCTGCTCTTGAATTCCTGAGAGCTGGAACTTTGTTCTGGGGGAGAGGAATGGGGGTGGGGGTGGATCTTGTCATGGGGTGAAGAAGCAAGCAGGACGA